CGTAGCTAGAAACTCCTCCCGCCATTGTCATCAAGGGCCACACGGTTTCCATCGAAACCCGAGCCCTTCTAGCTCACCGTGCCGGACGTGAATCATTTTATTTGCTTGATTTGCGGTCGCCAAGCGCAACTTCCGAGGTGGCTCTGCCAATGTACCGTAACGCTGGTCTGGAAAGACTACACCGAGGCAGACTTGGATCTAGGAAAGAAAGCAACAAGAAAGAGGATTAACTTAGAAGTTTTCCCCCCAAAAGCTTACGTCAGCGCAAAGAAATCCCTGCTACCTTCCTGCCTGAGCCCTGCCGCTGGGTTGAAGGAGACCGCAGGGGCATGACGAATTCAGGCACCTGTGAAGGCCCGGGCTCCCGCTTAGCGTGTACGTCACAGCACGTTCGCCGCCGGCCTGCGCGGGGCTGGCCCCAGGTGGCGGTGATCGCGGGGGTCAGGATAGCCGGACACTACATCTCTGTTCAAAACACACCTGCAAAAACTGAATTTTCATTTTCACTTCCTTGAGCACTGAATATCCCAGAGAGGGTCGGGCGTACCATGCGGGCCAAGGCCACAAACAAAATTTCCACCTACAGTCCGGTCCGTGCTGGAAACCAGAACCGGCCACAGCCACACGCAAAGGCAGTTGCCATCAGAAAGGATTGCCTGGAACCGATTTTGAACACGGTGACAGTGACGCTTCATGGCGAAGCCTGCTTTTCCCCCCGCAGAGCTTTAGTACTCGGTGCCCACACCTGCTGGGGGAGGCGGGGTGGAGGAGAAAACCACAGTCCCCACCACTGACTGCTCTGAGTTTTAAAAAACAACTGCGTAACTTCGTTTTGCATGGACACAGCCTTTGCTCAGAATATGTTTAAAAGCAACTGCCTGCCTTTTCCACGCTATAAAATCCAATTTGACAGCAGATTCAATTACCGCTAACCATGCTTCACAGTTAAAAGCCTGAAGAGAAGTGAAGAGCATCTTAACCTAGTGTCCAAGGTACACAATTCTGTTTCCTTACCACTATAGCATTTCTTTCTGTGTCAGATGCCTACATATTTGTTATGGAAGTTACTCATAATCACTACCACCATTTAAAAAAAAAAAAGGAAATCAAAAGTCACGTGTTTAAAAAAAAATTGCATGGTTTATAGTTTTGATCAACAGAGTTAAGGGAAAAGAAGCCTAACAGTGTTCCTTTAGGGTATATATAGTTCTGAAATAAACACACAAACATTATGACAATTACCTCCTGCTTCTCCTTTGGGAAAGCAAATATAAATTATTTAAGTAGTGAAATATGAACACATACGGTATCATTTTTAAAGGTGTGGAAATCCAGGTAAATAGGCAGTGTCTCAATTCAGCAGAATTATTTCAGTAAGTGACAGTTTTCACCTCTCCTTTCATGTGGGAAGAAATACACCTGTGCAATTACCAAATGTTTTTTTTCCCCGACCAGCTAGCCACGCAAATTAGTTAATAAACAAATAAAATCCCTACACTTCTACCTATGCATTGTTGGGGATGAAATACCTCTGCACAGATGCCAGAAATCCACAGTCATTGTTCATGCAACTACAAAGGCTCCCCTGAAAACACACATATCCAGACGTAGCTGAAGACCAAATATATTGTCTTGGATCGCCCAAAAGGTTTTTTTTAAAGACCTTCCCTCCCCTACATTACCTCAGCAGTTCATAGGTTTCAAGCTGCACCCGAGAAATCACACCTCTCCGGCCTAACCACCTACACAAACTCTCGCTCGCGCCCTGCCAGCCGCAACTCTCTTCAAATTCTTGCTATTAATTAGTTCTTGAGCTTCGTGTCACATTTTGCTCCCCTCATTAGTGCCTGCAAACCCCCCCCGCCTCTGAATAACTGACACTTGTATTGGTTATAAACACAGATGCAACAATTTTGATCTATGTTATGTGGCCCAGCCTGAGGGCCGCTTAAGGACGAGGCTTCCCGGCTACAGCTGTTCTGGGACATAACATAACTTGCTAAAAATTCCTCTGCGCTTCGTACCTCAGACCACACATCTTGCATCGGTATCGAGAAAATGAAATTGGAAAAACTGGTCCTAGTAACTGTGTGTAAGCAATCGGATAAACCAAGGCGTGCTGTTGACTCTCACACCCTTCAGCATCAAAAGCAGCAACGCGGCCCAGCGTTAACTGCCCTTGCTGAAGGGTATGGTTGCTTTCACAGACTGTTCTTCGCTCTGCCTGTTAAACCAAGTAATTCACTGATGTGCTTTAAAAAAAGTTTATTTTCCTGTATCATCTACACAGAACGAATCAGGATGAGTTTTAGGAGGTTTTTTGGCACTTAAGGTCAGTTGGGACTGTTGGAAAACATCATGCGGAGCCCACGGGGTTAACCACACAAATCCGCAAGCCTTACTCTCCTGCCTGTCCCTGTTGCTATGGAAACAGATCGCGCTGCCAAAAATGGAAGGATGATAATCATCTGAAACAAAAAAGGGAAAAAAAAGCTGGGAATGCAGCTGAAGATTATTTTAAAAGCACTCTCGCAACATGTTGGTTATTACATCCCTCTTTATATGAGAGACAGCCAGAAGCTATCAACAGGAGTGGAAACAATGCCTTACATTCCGGGAGAAATCAGCTTCAAACAGCATTTCCCTCAATCAGCCCTCTGAGTTTTGTAGTATCTATATGGGGAAAACAAACTACGTTACAGCGAACAGTTTCTGATCACTGGAAGTAGTGAGGTCCCATTTGCTAGACGGAAGTTTCTCGGCCTGTTGCCCTTCGAACTGAATTGCATTCAGAGTTTCTGTTGGTTTTGCCTGTAACCGCTTTCTGCAGAGCATTTGGGGCTCCTGCCTTTCCTTTGCAACAGGACCGGCAGGTAGCGGGAAAGATGCGGTGGATGCCCAAACCGCAGCCTGTCCTATCCCCGTCCTGCATTTTCACGTTGTTTGGCACTAGCCAACAGCTAGAAACGTTATCCCCACAGACCCCCGGCCTACATGACGCTGTCACTCTCCTTCCTTTCGGAAAACGGACCGAAACCCAAAGGGAAAACAGCAGCGTGGCTCTCCCCGCCTTCCTTCCTCTGCCTCGTCGAAGGCCCTGGGACCCCAA